GGTTACTCAGCGGCGGCTCAGAAGTGCAGTGGCCCAGACTTCATGCTGCCTTCAGGCAGTAGAACATTAGTTCTGTGGCTCCTTCAGTTTACAGATAAAATGTGCATTTTATTCTGCATACAGAACCTGCGTACATCTTTCTCCTCTCCTGCAGAGTTCTGATGTTCTCCTTTATTTCTCCCCTCCAGTCTCAGCATTTCATCTTTCACTGACTTGCACTCTACTTACACTGTGGGTTTGGTTTTTTTTCATTCTGTCTACCTTTTCTGTTATTATTTAACTCATTCAACATTTCTTTGAATAAAAGATGAGAAATACCAAGAACTAGACTGCCTATGGGATCTGCTTGGGATAACAATTCTTAAGACTGATTTCACACCACCTTTTGGGTTTGAAAGCTGGAGTCACGTATGATATTATCACAAAGCACTGGAATTTCACAGAAACATGGACATTTTAAAAGTTCATCAAAAATGAAAATGTGGTGGAATGGGAAAGAGAAAAACGTGCTTCGCAAATAATTTTGTGGCTGAAGAATTCGCTTGCAAAGCAGTCAGAAAGGACAAACAGATTATTTCATTTCAGTTCAAAGAATGTGTCTTGGCTTTTGGATGAGATGGTTGCGGTATGAAATAATAATAGAACCCTCTACACATTGGCTTAGTCCCACTGGGAGAAAAAGCCGCTACCAGAAAACATCACATCGAGGACCAGGCGATCACTGACAAATAACTTTCCTGTTCTCTTTTCTGATTTGTAAGGCTGCTTTTTCTTGCAATGCATTAATCTGCCTTTCAGCTTGCTTTTAATCAAAACCAGCCTTGACTTTGGAGAGTGGAAAAAGAAAGCAGATGCTGAGGTAAACCACAGAATAGAACTGGAAGAAACAGTCAGAAAGAAAAGTCTCTTTGGCTTGATAAGTATTTAAGAACTATTTTTCTAGAGAGAAGGGAGAAAAAAAATACAGTGTTTTGTTCCAGTTTGGAAAAATGGCGATGCCTGCCTTCATTTCCCAAATGTAGGAAGAATGAGATGGTTTGTGCAGTATTCTGCATGCAGCAACTCCTATTGAGTTGAGTAATATAGAAAAAGCAAAAAACCAATGCTGATAATCTGCAAAACAGTCCTCTCAGATTGTGGAAATCAAATTTTTGGGGTGTCAAGAATTACAAACCAAGCAAACAAGTACTCCAAACCAACCAGTTGTCCTATGTACCAGAGAGGGACTGTATGCAAGCAACCAGAGTCAGGACACACCACTTCAATTACTGTAGATACCAGTTAAAACTTCAGACGCAGGAAACAACAGAAATAAGAACAGGGTAGGGTGAAAGACACTCCGATATTTGCAACTCCAGAGCTTGTTTTTTTTCGTTTGTGTTTTGGCCCTTTTTTTCCTTTTAATGATTTCCAGCTATTGATGGTACACACCGTGAACAGCTGATGTATGCTACCTCCAGTGCAAATGATTGTGTTGGTAACTTCAAATACAGCTGTTGCAAGTCAGATATTGTAATTAAAAATAAAAACAACCCCCTCACTTATTTCTCTCTCCCCAGAGGTTTCAATCAAGAGCACAGTTTCATGTCTGCACAGGCAACCTGGAGCCAGACTACCCTAACCCCAAAACCTCACATCTGCCTTCACCTCTCTGTGCCTCCCTGTGAACCAGGCCAGGGAACGGATCCAGAGAAATGTTAACCTAAAAAACCCACAAAGACCTTCAAACAAACAAACCCCCATTGTTTGCCAGCCAGTTCAGCCTCCAGAAACCTCTTGTGACTCTGCCACAGAAGCACCAGCGCGACATGAGTGAGAACACACGAAGAGGAGCATGGGGGTGAAGGAAGCAAAGATGGGCACCAGGGCACAGCACTTACTGATCCAGCTCACCTGGGACTAACTCAGCCCTGAGCTTGCGTAACCACACCGGGCCTAGCTGAGGGGATGGACGGTGCACGCTCCTTTATTCCTGAAAAACAGATATAGCCAAAACGCTGTCAAGATATGCCAGACCATTCAAAGAATTAAGAACAGAACAGAAAAGGCAGTTGGAGGAATTCTATCAGTCAAAGGGAAAAGAATAATTAATACTATTCATATTCAAGAGCAACTGGCTTATCTTGACTTGTTCAGGAGAAACTGCAGAGTAATAATGGGCATTTCTTGGCTCAGTGGGGATGTGGATGCTCAGGCAAACCTTTCTTCAGCACGTGGCTCTGGCTTTGGGTTGAAACCCTTCCGAGCAGGGTGGCTCTGCCAAGCTTCCTCTCTCCAGCCGAGCAGCGTGTGCTCACAGCACAGCTCACAGCTCAGCCCTCTCCGTCTGTGGTCCCAAACCAGGGAGCAGAGCAACAGATACGTAGCAGGAGAAGCATCAAAAGCCACTAACCTCTTATAATTAGAAAAATCTTGCCTTGTGCTGGTCCTGAGAGGCCAAGAAAAGATTCTCTGATTTTGTTTTCAGTCAGTAAAGGCCAAAAATAATTCAGAGGTGATAAGAGTGCTTCTGATTATGAGGAAAAATCAAGTTATTCTTAAAGTATAAACTTATGCTCATATGATTCTTGATATGCATAAGTGTCTGGTTTCAAAGCTGCTTTCTCTGGCAGGACAAGGAGTGGAAATTCTGTGCAGAAGGCAGCGTAGAGCTGCTGTATTCATAGCTGCATGCCAGTGCTCAGGATGCCCTTATCACCCAGGAGGGAACTTGAAAGAGCTTCCTCCAAAGTATTTTCTCAGGTAAATGGAACTCTGTTAAAGTGGACAAATGACTTTTTATTTAAACAAACCATACTCTCCATTCCTAGTTGTTCTCCAAATGTTACGTTCACTGCTTTAATATGCGTCCTCCTGTTCCCAGAGCCATTTTCTTCTGCAACAGAAAGGTGGCTGGCTACCAAACCACCAAGTAGTACGCAGGGCAAAAAGTTCATCTAGGAGTCACAGGAGAAGAAACTGGATCAAGATGATTGCATAAAATCTGTTCTGACAAAAAAAAAGAAAAAAAAGGATGAAAAGAGTTTCTTTCGGCCAAGATTATGAGTTTTATGAAAACTTGCAAATCTACAGTGCGACAGACAGTGTGGAACTTGACGGAAGGAGTGAGTCAATGTGTTTTAAGGAGTCTTGTGTTTTATAGCTGGAGTCCTGAACCACCCTATGTTGCAGGTACAAAGTTAAACACTGTGATAATGGCAGAGCAGCTTCCTCAGCAGAAACAGAGCAATCTGAGGTGGGGAGGAAGACGAAGCAGCCAGTGACGCTCCTGCACAGAGCCAGGTTTGATTCTCCTCCTCTTCTCCCTCCCCTTCACTTCCCCAGCATAAGACTGGAGCTTTTATTGTCATAGCACCCTGCCATAGCTCCACCTTGGCTTAGGAGGTGGTTGTTTTGTTTCATTTACTGCTGCCATTTCTGTGCTTCTGTACCATGGCTTAGTAATAGGAAAGGAAGCAAAAATGAGAGGGTAGCACAGAAGCAGAGCTAAGACAGAACAGCCTGTTCCCAGGGTCATTTTGCTGCCCTTCATCTGCCCATAACTTTGTATTTTGCTCTTCCTTGGAAAACAGTTTCTTTGTAAAATAAGGTGGGGTGAAAAAAAAGACAGAAAAAAAGGCTTTCTCCCCAACATAGGAAAACAACATCAAAACCCACAAAAATCAAAACAAGAGTTCAGAGGTGGAGTCCTGAGAACCGAGACTAGAAGAGAAGACCAAGTTTGTGACATGGTGAATGAGTACACGAGCGCGGTGATGTGATCAAATTCGTGGTCTTGGAAAAACGACACCTTGCTAGTTTTCCAGAAAACGAGATAATACTAGGGCTGAAACAAGAGAAAAGAGCTACACAGCAAATCCAGCCAAGAGATACAGGGCCTGCAGGAGATGCATTATACAGAAACCATCAACAAAACTTTCTGACATAGCTTGGATATAAAGACTAGATACTAGTCCTGCACGTAACACAAGTCTCCAGATTAATTTACTGCTTATATCAAGCAGTACTACAGACAGAAACCAAAAAGGGTAAAATGAGATATGTCTAAGTAAGTGGCAGATGTAGAAACTTAGGAAAAGAGAACATGGGTGTGTGACAATCGCTGTTTTCTGGCATATGGAAAAAAATAAGTACAAAAATCTCAGTTGTAGAATACCCCAAGTATTTGGAAATGTGCTAAAATGAGTTAATATTTTACTTCTGTTAAAGTATTATGCCTCCAAACCTGCATGTGTTGCACTGCACTTTGCAGTGAAAATACGTTTGAAAACTTGCTCTAACTCCCAGGTGATGCCGCGACCACGTTATGCAGATTCTCCAGGAGATCCAGTCGATGCGCTGGAGAGACATCTCACTCCTTCTGTGCAGACCGAGATTCAAGATGCCACACCAGAATGAAGACGAGAAGCCAAAAGTCTCGATAGCCCAGCGCACTGGAACAACCTTGGAGACAACAACTGGAAAACATACTCGGAAGAGACGGGTATGTAGAACCGTGGTAAGCTTTGCCTTTGTGTCAGTGAGCCTGGAGATCCTGCAGTTACCAGCGACGAGTGAGCATCGCTGTGGAAAGGTGAGCAGCTTCACCAGGAGGGGATGATGAACATTGTGCATTATACTACCAAGGAACGTGAAGGCATACACTGCACACGTTTTTTGTTTTTTTTTTTTTTTGAGTCAAGATCTGCGGCTGCTTGTTACAGGCTACTGCAAAATTTCATTCACAAACAACACCGGGAAAAATATTGTTGAAGGGACATCAAAACAATATTATTCATGGGTCTATGGATTCAAAACTCAGGCCTCACAGCAATGGACTCGCTCGGGCCGTAACCATGAAAAAAAGGGTCTGGAAAAAATGATCACTCATAAAAAGAAGCACAAAGATAACCTTCTTTTTGCAACTGAAATATGTTGCCTACAGCTTTTTATTAGTTACAGTGAGTGAAATAGGAGCCAGACAAGTCTAATATAACTCTATTATCTCCTGTTAGTGTAGGGTGAAAAGTAATGACAAAACCCTGCCTTTTTTTGAAAGCACCTGTTGACATCTGGCTTGAGCAATATAGGACTATCACTCAATAACCCTCTGGAAAGCAGTCACTGAAATGGAGTTTGTCAGCGGGAACCGCACTGAACTACCGTCAGCATTTGCTAAATGAAGTCGCAGTGACAATATCATGGGGGGGGGGAAGTGTTTTCGATTTATGGATCTGTTTCCCAGAAAGAAAACCATTCAGCTGGGCTGATAAAGTAACTCTGAAGAAGCCCATGCCTTCACCCCCTGCTGAGTTTGGAGCCTAACAGACAGCCCTCGCTGTACCTCGAGCATCTGCTGCGCTGCTACCAGCCATTCCGTAACGCCGGTGATTGCAGCCCCCTCCTGTCATCCACGATTCCTCCTTCTGCCGCTGCACTAATAGGTAGGGAGGAGAAATCAGGAAGGTGGAGGGGGAAGTTTAACCTGTGAAAGGGGACAGACAATATCAATGAATATTATGAAAATAAATCTGGTATCATGTACTCGCTTACCTGTGACTTTCAAGCCTGAAACTAAACTCAAACTCCCCTTCCTCCAGCAGGCACATGGGGGCACCACTTACCTTCTGCAACTGCATTTTGTGTCTCTGAGTTGGTTCCTTTCTCTGAGGATCCGCGTTTTTCCTTTTCTTCCACAATTGTTATGTTCAAGCTTGAAAGCCATTTAAATCTCAAAACCAACAAACAAGTCAACAGCAAATAAAACAGAAAGAAATTCGAGAATTTTTTACAAATTAAAACAAGTCCAGCTGCTGTAATTCAGATACATTTGCATGTTTTCTATTCTTTTGCTGCCAGAGCAGATGGAATCGGACAGATGAGCTGGAATCCCTCAGAAGGTGTACCTGCAACCCACGCCAACACGTCACATTTACCTTTTTCAATATTTCATATTTTAGTCATCTGGTCTTTCCATTACCAACTCATTACAACTTAATTTGTTCAGAGGGACTGAGGAGCCAGCAAAATAACAGAGCGCTCTGAAAAGGTCACTGTTCTTTATTACAGGAGGTTGGAAGCCTTCTGGTAGCCAATTCTTTCAAGCAGACCGTACCTACGCAACCCCAGTCTCTCCTCGTTGTTTGTTATTGTTAAAATCTGCAGGAAGTAAATTAGTGTCTTCCATTTAAATAGTCGCCATATACTTCTGTAGGATCTCAGAATTCACTACGCATAGTAAATACTTGTCAGAAGCCACAAGTTTTTTAAAAGGCAGACCTTGTCTTTTGATCAAAGGAGAAAGCCAGAATACTTTTCCCATGGAAAGCAAAGTTTAGCTGTGGATATCGCCAACATCTGCCCATCCTTTAGGGGAGCTAGGTTTCAGACTTGCAAAGAGCGTTTGTACACTGGTTCTACAGAAAATAACTTCAGTGTGTCCAAACCCACCAGTCTGAATGAAAAAAAAAAAACTAATTTCAGATCTTATCATGATCCCTCTTTTCCCTTTGAATCAATAGGTGTGGATAAAACAATATTTTGCTTGTGAAACTTGCTATTACTATGAGATCTCACCTACACAAAGCAACACATGACACGTCGGCAACTCATGCTAGTAGGTATGAAGTTGGAAAAGGCTCTGAATCACTTTTGTAGCTTCTTTTTGGGAAATGAACACATACTGACTTTGCTACTTAATTTTTCAGTACTACAACCTCTGGGGAGGTGAGAACACAGTTCCGCTGAATCTCTTTATGAATAATCCTGTATGAAAGCTGTCACTTACAAGCAAAATGTTTATGCCTCGAGCATCTGCAAACACATCATCAGCATCCACCCCGATTTTATTTTGCATTCTCCTATTCCTACATGAACAGAACCCTTTTCAAACACTTTTCCCCTGCCATTAAAAAAAAAAAAGGACATTCAAAGACTTTTCTTCTCCAGTTCAATGTAAGAATTGTCAAGTTCTCCCTTCTCAATTTTTGTTAGTTTTTCTCATTCTTGGAAACTTCTGCTGAGCTTTGACATCTGTCACTATCTGCCTTTACTGAACAAGGAGGCAGGGACTGCGCTGTCATCTCTTCACAGTAAATTGCTGCAATATTCTCTCACTTTTGAATACAGCTCAGAGTGAAAAATCTTGATAAGGCGTAAGCATAACCCATTCAAGCCTATTTATTTGTTTTTCTCCTCTGTGAATTTTCTGACTTAATATAGGGATTTTCGGTGCCAGTTTTCGCTCGCCCTCATACAGGGAATGAGGAAACATGCCATCCTAAGGAAATGACGTTACATGCCAACACTTTTCTCATCTCAGCTCCTTCCTTTTAATTCTGCTTAACATCGCTGCCTTCCAGCAGAACCAGGCGACATACTTGGAAAGCAGCACAGCTGTGGCTCCTGTCTTCAGTGTTTAAGTAGAAAGTGAAAAACTTACTGTCAAGAAGTCCCAATTCAAAAATACTAACGGGACAGCCTCATAAATGAATTTTATGCCACTGCCTACATCTACAGATACAAAATGTTTACCCTGAACTCATTAGTGAATTCTCTTATCAGGCTCACATTGACATCAAAGTTGAGCTGAATTCTTCTCAGAAAGTAATAAATAAAATAATAATTTAAAAAGCCGTTACTCCTTGCAAAGCTCTTATTATTTTACTGCTCACCAGCAATTAAATTTTTAGTTGAGCATTTAGATTAGAATTTTGGGCAGCTAGTGATCACCCAGACCAAACCCATTTCCCATTAAAGAATATATGACTGTCCTTGTTTTCTGTCTCTAAGGCCAACTGCTGCAAAACATCATCTCTCCGATTATTTACTCAGATGCTGAACACATCAACATTCTGGACCAGGTTTCCCTGACGTATAATATTTACCTCTATCTGGCTGCAAAGTCTCTGAGTTAGCAGACTGTTTTAATTTTCATGGAAGTAATTTGCAATATGATACTAATCATTTTTATACCGCAATAAAATAGTTCTTTTTGTCATTTTCCATAGATTAGTCCCCCTGAATCAAACATATGTATATGTGTGTGTGTATATATATACATACACACACTATATAAGACTAGATTTTTGGAGAAGTACTTCAGAAACTGATCAAAGTTAGACAATTTTAGACACTGTTGATCAATATGATTAATACACAGAGAGTGCCTCTAATGTGAGGCACACCATGCTCCAATTAAAACTCTAATGAGGGGACACTTATAGTGAAAGTAAGCTGCTAGACTATTTTCCAGACTTTTTATTTACAGCTAAAACATGTAAATCTATTAATTGGACTTACTTTAAGAATCACATCAGGAACTGAAAAAAATAACCCCATTTTTATAATTAAGTACTACCACAAGAGTCCCGTGATAATATTCACCATAAGCTTCTCTCAAGTTGTAAAACCACTAGTTGACTGTGAGCACACAGATCCTAGAAAACGTCTGCAGGATGGAGTGAACTTCACACAGATGTACAAATTTCAGAACACTTCACTGAAATGAAGAGAACTTATGCATCCCTGTAGACTCAACCATATGCATGTTTTTTTGTTGGTCATATGAGTCCAAAATTATTCATATAATATGATGAAAGGGGTAACCATCACTAGTTACACTGTCAGATGTTCTCCATCTAGAAGTTCTCCATCTAGACAACACTAATGTCCAAAAAATCCTTATGTAAGGACAAAGGTCTTGGCCTTTTGCAAATGAATCTTAAAATAGCTACCAAATAATCTGCTCTGATAATCAAATATCACAATTAACATAAGACTTTTGTTCAAAGACAGATGAATAAAGAATCTCTATACATCCGCTTGCAAACCCAGCTCCTCTACCGCTTCTTTATTGCCAAGCACGGTCAAACACAGGTTCCAGAATTACAGCAGCTTTAGACTTCACTGTTGAGAGAACCTTCAAAATGCAAAACCTGGAAAACACAGATTATAAACTTCAGCTGCTACCTGAACTGTTCACAGTGGTTTGAAGAATGAATTCTCAAATGGAGTTAAAGGAGTTAAAAACTTCTGTTCACTTTGTATGTTCCCAACTGTGTGGCTTGTCCTTCAAACATACAAGTGAGAAGCTTCTCACATCTCATTCTGTACAAGCCAATTATATATCAGACAGTTATCTGTATTTTTTTAAACAGCTTCTAAGCCAAAGTGATAAAAGCATAAGAGCCAAGAGGAAAGTTATGTGAACTAGGAAGGAGAAAAACAGGACCTCACTGACATGGATCTCAGCATTGCTGAACGCATTTCATATTTTTGAGAAGTTGATTATCTACACTGATGTAATCATACCTGCCTCCTAGACAAAACCAGGTTGTGCAATACTCAGTGACATCAGCTGAGAAGCAAGGAGAAGTCTTGGATTATTGTCTGCAGGGTGGCACAAAAACAGAAAGGAAGCATTTTTCTTCCATCACTTATTTTCGTGCTTCAAAAAAAATCAGAAATTGCAATGTCCTGCTCTAATTTAACCTAAACGAATATTATGTTTGCTAGTAAAGCTTGGGAATTAACACTACCCAAACCCAACGTTTCATTAGTACTAATATGGAAAAAGTGACCAATATCTACAAGGATCATCACTTTCTCTACTAAAACCAGCCCCGAGCACTGTTCCATTCCAGAAGGCAAAACGACAATTACACAGAGTTCAATCCCAGCGCAACAGATGACGTTTTTGCATTAAACAACGACATACAGAGATTTTAAAAGTTTGTTTTTATTATTGTAGTGTAGTTATCTAAATAAACTTTTCTATCACTTCTACACTCCATTTTCATCATAAAGATTTCAGTTGGAATGTCACAGAGTATTCTGCAACCTTCACACTTAGTTTATAGAAACACTCAGCATTAAAAGGCCTTTGCAATGTGTTTTAAAAACACTGCACTTATAAACCCAAGTGTGTATTAAAGCAGATTTTTTCAAGAGACCCACTGACAAACAATTCTACATGGTCTATCAAAGAACAAGTTTGCATGGGCTTACATTAACTCCGTAGTAACCTTGCCCACAAGTACTCTACCAAATACAAGAGTAGTAATTGAGGAATGTTGTAGTAGTCAACGTGAGCCAGAATTTAGGCCCTTGTTAACGACGGTTAATTTTGCTAAATGCTGTTGCCCACCAGTTAATACTTAAGGCAGATTTCACTGTATACTTGTTTTCCCAAGCTAAAGTAACTGTATAAGCGTTGTTCGTAACATTTTGAACAGAAAGTATTTTATGGTGTATGTAAGAAGTGGCAACAAGAAATAAGACAATGCAGTTAAAACACACCCTTTTCTATTTAGAGCAATGAAACTCATATTTTCAATTTGTATAAAAAAAGTCATTATTGAAAAGCCTAACCTTTCAAATTTTAATTTTTTAGATTTCAGTTAAAAGGTTTATGGAGTTAAAGAATGTCCCGAAGCTGGTGCTCCTCTAGGAAGGCGTGTAGAATACATAGCCACGAATATTCAAACAAAAGGAGAATCCAATGCACTATTACTTTAAGCAGACAAGCCATGAATTACATTCAAATGAGAGTCCTTTCACGTGGTGTGATTCTTTTCACTGTTGCGTACTAAACTTCAGTAGCTCCAACAACTTGGTATAAAGAACAAATTTATTTTTTAGCCAAGACTAATTTTCACATGCCACAGTCTTCATTTGCAAGGGCAATTTAACATCAGCATCCACTCCTCAGCTGTAAAATTTCCCAGTCAATCAGTAATAAATAGAAATGATATATCTGACATAAGAAACAATAATGAAAAGAAGTACTTAAGTACTGAAATACTGGCACAACAATGAGAAAAGATGTTATTGGTGGCATCCTTAAGTATGTGGACCATAAGATGTGTTAGCATAAAAAGCATCTAATTAAAAGCCAACATTTTGGCTTTGCACGATGCTTTTTCTACCTATTGTTAATCACACAATCGAATAACAAACAAACCAAGAACTGTGGAGACAGCATTAGCAGTCTCCTGAACATTCTGCAGAAGCCTACCTGGCTGCTTTTGAGGTAGGATCTTCTCCCATCCTTTGATCCCACAAGCCAGTCAATATAAAGCAGAATTTAGTCCCTAAGGTGTGCAGGGAGTGTCCACTGAAGAATAACACTGAATATAACAATACCTTCATTGAAAAAAATGACGTTTCATGGATTTTTGAAATGTTAGGAGGCTTCTGTAAGTAAACCTGTCAAAGATTCCGTTCCAGACAGTAAGGAAAAAAGACAATGCACAGAACTGATTCGAAATAACAGTAATTTTAAACAGAAATATTGGATTGAGAAATCTTCCAGGAAAAAAGACAATGCACAGAACTGATTCGAAATAACAGTAATTTTAAACAGAAATATTGGATTGAGAAATCTTCCAGGAAAGAACTGTGTTTTGTGATCTACATTTATTCTTTAAATATATTTATACTTCTATAGTACAGATTGAATCATTTATACATATAAATACAACAGTAGTGAAGAACTATAAAGATTTGATTTTTAGAAGTAAATGCAGTAGATTTTTTTTTACACAGGTATAGAACGCTTTCAGCACATTTTTAAATTTGCTTTCTGCTATAGTTGACAAAGTAGGAAATATTCTTGTATAATTTTATCATAGACTTCTTTCCCCTCTTGTGAAAGTGAAGACAATTTTAACACAAAAATAAACATCAAACAGTTCTTAATCTTGCCTCCACACACATTTAACAATATTTGCTCAAATCACACATATCAGCCATTACAGTGATTCAAGAGAGAAATGTATTTTCACACAGTGGAATCTCAGTCTGACAGACAACCCCAATCTCCTCATAAACATAAAATCCTTACTCTTGTGCCACTTCCTCTTTAGGCTGTTTGAGCTCAGTCAGTAACTCTTTACCAGTTTCTCCTGCTTTTGAGGCAAAGAGAATAGCTCCCTGTTTAAAGCACAGGAGCTTCAAGCTTCTGGCATAATCTGCGTATACAGCATGGATCAATTTCTGTAAATGAAGCATTAAGGGAAACACAAATTAATAGCAAAATGAAAACTCACAATCTTTTTTCTTCTCCTCACTCTAGCTCTCCCAAACTGAAAATGCTGAACATGGCTGCCACTTGTGCTAATCCAGTATTTTTCAGCACAAAGAAAGACAAAAAAGTTGCTTTAAATTCTACTACTGAATGCGTATTAGCGTTTATCAAGCTATGTGCAGAGTGCTGTAAACTAAACCAGATACATTTCAGATAAGCATAAGTACCTATCATAACACCACCTCATAACTTACAAAAGAAATTAAGAAATTCTAAGGTCATACTACAAGATCTGTTTGTTAATGAGATGTATCTGGAGTTATCTGTATGACTTACTAGTGGCTTTTTTTTATTTACAAGCTGACAACAGTGATGACTCCTTAAAACACAATCAGGTATTATTTACATATGCATTCTTTATTGCACGTACCTAAATAAGTTAGAGAAACTTCAGTTTCCAGAACACCGTGTTCAATGTGCAGACTACCGAGCCATACTTTTGATACCTTTTAAAATACTCACTGCATTTTCAGCTCATCTGATCTTGACCTTTAATTTTCTTTGTTTCCACTGTCTCGGAACAGTTTTCTTCATAAAAGACTTCAATCACTAAAACGGTATGTTGGTGTATAGAGCAGTTCAATGCAGGGATTTTTTTTCCTGAGATACAGTGTTTAAAAGATAACTGAACCACTGATTTCAGTACAGTCTGCAGCAATAATTGCCAAGTTCTGCAAAGAACATTTTATCATCTGTTCTTTTCTCTCCTACATTTTATTTTTTTCAATTTTAGTTTGTTTTCCAGTCCCACTGGCCTCACAGAGCATCAGGAGGAGGTAATATTATGGATTTATGCAAATTACTCCTTTTCACTTATTTCCTCATGCTTCTTTCAAACTACACAACCTGAAAAAATAGGAACTCCTGTTCCTGTGCAGACTAGTTCATGCAACACTGGCTCATACATACTCACTGTAGGAGTACACAGATGCAAAAGCAGGATTTCAGAAAAAGGATATTTGTATCATCATTAAGTTCAAATGCCCCATACTGCAGACAAGCTTCAACAAATAAAGCCGCTCTATCGAAGTACCTCATACTGTTAAATGACAAAAAAAGAGAATAATTTGTCAGGATAGGAAAACAGAAAAGTATTCCAGGACATGGCATTAGAACACTTGCACACAGGCTTTCTAAAACTTTGCGCCTAGGTCTGGAGTTGCGAATCTCCTCTGCACTGAGGGCAAACAAGGCTTCCGATCATCGCCAAGGCTCAGCAGTATCACTGTTTAGCTATCACTACAGCACTTATTCACAGTCCCCCATCACACACTGCTCTCGGCTCCCAAGGTTGCTCCACGTTGCTCTCTGCGCCTTCAGGCTTCGTAGGCCTTGAGCGTTCAGTCCATCCAGTGCTTTCCTTATGGTGTGAATGCTGCTACCCTGCTCCCAGGCAGTAAGCAGGACCAGGCCATATCAACCCCACGTACTGCCTCGTGCTCCCCTCGCACCCGCTAGGCTGGCACTGCCCCCTCCCCAAGCTTCTTACATCTCCCCTTCCACTCAAGAAACTGGTATTTGACACAAAATTTTTGAAATATTAAGGCTCAACTTACTCAGAAATGATCCTAGCTACTATAAATTTTTACTGCTTGGTCAACGGGTGCTAGCAATCTTAAAGCCTGAAGTAAATTTAAGTGGCAGTATATTTCCTGAAATGGCAACAAAAACATCAGTTCCAGCACAGAGAAATGATGTACTGCTGAGGTTAAAAGTTACTTAGAGAAAAACGTGCTAAAATAGAAAAAAACGTCAGAAATCAAACTGCAGACCTCCTCCCTCTCCCTTGACATCTGAGCCACAAATGCTTAAATAACAATTTTGAACAAGGCAAAACACAGATTGCGTTGTTTCAGCTTTACCTGTGCAACATCTCTGCAACTTTTGTAAAGCATCCAAGTGACAAGAGGACAAGAATGGCTTTGGACTTCTGGTTGACTTGGGGAGAGCAAAGGTGATCTACCCAGCGCTTTAACACATCAGCACACTCCTCAGAGTTCAAACGAACCTTTAAGAGACAGGAAAGCCAGTTATGGATTCTCAGCTACTACCTCAAGACAGCATTCTGCTTGTGCTTCACTTTTTTCAGTAAGAAACCTTGAGCAAAAGTAAAAGCATCCGAAATTACCAATTTTATTATAAAAAGTACACTAATCCCTGTAACAAATACAACATAAAGAAAAAGAATAAATACATAGATATGAAACACCTCCACTCTGGTCACTCCAGATTTACAGGTGATTGACATTATTTTTACCATAAGGCTTTACTAAAACCTCAAGTATCTAGAAGATAGAAATCTTTATCCTTTGCTAAAAACTTAAGGACAAACATCTTTATTTTTCTTACAAGTGCGATTCATCCATTTAGAAAATCCGAGTACGACTTTTTCCATACTTTCTGCAGAGAACGTAACAGAAACTTTACTTGGCAACACTGAAAGATCATCCTTACTGACTCCTGGCCATTACAACATGGAGAATTAATGCTGTGTCTAGGTACTTCTACTATAATAACATCTGCATACCAAAACAGAAGTTGGTGCAAATTTCTGTGGTTGGTGCTAACTTTAAAATCAGCATATATGCTACACGGAGCTCAGCACAAAGCCACTTCATCACCTAATAACTCACGCACTTCCAGGAGCACTTTTTTGTAGTTTATTATGAACTCTGTACTGCTGTAGCTATATGCAACTTCATAAATCATTGCTCAAAAATTAGAAAATTGAGTATTCTAACCATTTTTAGGCCCCAATCACGTCATTTGGATGACCAGGGAAGATCTTTGTAGTCAAATGACTGAAGAAGAACCTGTCAACAGTGACTAGTTTGTTATAGCTTAACACATGGAAAGAACTCATGATGGTAGTTCAAACTGATGTTTCAGCTTTTAATTTTTGAAGAACTTTAGCACCCTCATTAGCCTTCACACCTACATGTACTAGTAGGCCATTTATGTTAGCGAACTGAAACTGAGAAATTACGTACCTTTGCAAGCCATGCTGCACGATTCCATTCGCCGTAAGTTTGCAAGTAGCGACAGGCATCAGCAGCCTTATCGATCAGACAAAGTAACTGTACACCCTCTGGAAAACAGAAAGCACACTGTATAATAAGTTAAGGGAAAGAAGAGTTGCTATATAAGTGTGAGCAGATCATCCATCCCCAGGAAAGTGAACTCTCTTATCTACTTCTTAGCATATGAAGATTTTGAAAAACCCTGATTTCTACCACCTGGCTCTCCATACAACCTGGGTGTCAGTTATCATATATTTTTCCTCAGCTACAGAGTTTAGAAGGACCTCACAAAGCTCTCATTTATCTTTGTCCTAAATACAAATGACAAGGAGTTCACTGGACTTCTCATCGTAAAGAGACAATGATCTTTGTAAGTCAAGTAAACACATTTCATAAATAATCCTTTATTTTAATGACGTCCATAGTGTAATTATTAACAGTGAAGCGTTAAATGTTCACAGAGTGGAAAGTATTTTTCCCAGGCAAGTACAGACACTTGTACTTTCTCTTCATGCCTTTGAATATTTCAGTCAATCACCATATTGTGAACATCTCTTCCATTAAGCAAAACTAACCTGTACATGTAAGAAAACACACTTTCTGAAACCATTTCTGAACTGGAAAGGAAATTAAGTCTGTATTTCAACTATTTCAACAAGAAACCATTTCTTTATTAACTCTTCGATTAGTAAAGTGGAAAATATGTAGCTTTAAGTGCTCAGCCTCTTTTAGTGCAATTATTGCTGAATTAATCCAAAAATACGTTCTCCAGTGAAAATTAATCAAAAAAAGTTGCTCTTTATAACTCAGTTACTCAGTCATAACTCAGTCACTGTTGTGTTAAATACTGTAGATAGTGCATACCATAACACATGCAACACATAAGATCTATTACAATTTTTGATCTCCCATCTCCATCAGCAGCCTTAAGAACAGAATTACAGTTTATAAGCAAACACAAAATTAAAGTCACATTTCACCTGCGAGCTTTCCATTGGCTATCATGTTGGTTGCTACCAGTTTAATGGTACTTTGAGATGGACCTGAGGAGGTGACAGTTGTGACCAAGCAAGCTTTGAGTGAATCGCAGTAATAATGTGCATTCTCTGAACTTGTTTCTAACAATAGTTGTACTGCTCTGTCAGTCTAGCAAAAGAAAAAACAAACAAACAAACAAACAAATCTGACCACAAGTTGTTCACTTTTAAACAAAAGTCTTTATATTTTTACCCTTTTTAAGGCATGGAACAAACAACAACGCAAGTTATCCTAAAACAGACTACAAAAATATCTACCAGCATAGTAATAATTAAGGTTCTATTTCGATGAAGTATCCTTAGTAAGGATAGCATTTAAACATCTGTCATGAATATAATGTTTAATCACAGTCTAAAATTTCTAGAAGAAGCCAAAGAAAATTTTAATTCAGAACAATCATTTCCTTGTTTACATAATCTTCTGCAGAGTTATAAAAGGAAGAGAAGCATTCAAAATAAGCAGAGAAGAAATAAAATTGTAAGGATGTAGAAACCGGCCAGGATCTCAAGGACTGATTAAAAACCTGATAATTTAAAACAAAGGTAGAATTCATCCATTTAAAATGTTAGTTACAGCTGAGCACCTCATTGGGGGGGGTGTGGGGTGTGGAGTTGGGTGTCATTACACTGGCTGCAAACACCTGTCTCTGATTCAAACGAATTACTGCAGGCATGTCATCTCTGCCTGTTATTAAAATGCGATGCCTAACTTCCAGAGAGGTCAATTTGGTGAGGTCAGTCAAGATGATGCCTTAGATAATTACAGAAATAATGAAAAGCCACATTAAATATATATTAAAATAGAGTGATTCAATAAACTGGTATTTTTAAACTTCTATAAACTGACATTTTTAAACAGATTGTCTACAGACTAAATATTTCTGGCATCTTCTACTGGTAACATTTGTTGACATGATCAAATGTACAGTGGCACAGACATCATTTAAGTTCAAGCTCGTAACACCAAAGCTATTTCTGGAAATGGATGAGGCACAACTGCCTTAGTAGGGAACAGCTCATGATGTACTCTGTACAAATGCAGTAATATTCTTACCAGGGTGTCAGTGAGCAGCTCTGTGCAGTGTTTCACTGCTCAGTACAGATCTGCCAAAAACTTCGACATGTCCTTTGTTACCTAAACTGAGAGTACTAAGTGCAGACTGAGTTGTCCCAAAGATGTTGTTTTTAAGTCATTTCTGGGAAACTCAAAATGTAATTTTTCTTTTCTAGTCACCATGTGGAAAGGAAGATTTTTATAGTGTTCCCAGAAAAACTATACATTCTGAAGCAGATAATACCAAACATTACCATATGCCATACCATCACACTGAGTCTGCAGTGTAGTAACATATTAAGACAGCAAAAACTATCCACTGGGTGATTGAAAGTATGAAACAACACATGAGTTAGACAAACCTTTAATTGGATAGGATAAGTACATAAAATGGACAAGGAGGAAGAACAAAAAAATTAAAATATTACCCACAAACCTGGCCCAAGAGAAGCAGCTGATCAGCACATTTCCTGGTATGATCATATGTTGATCTCTTCACCTCCTGAAGATTTACCCTTTCAAGTTGGAATTTCTGCATGAAGAAGGAAAAATCTTGTAAACATAAGTCTACCATAAGAAATAAAAATAAGCATTTAAAAAAACATGGAAGTATTTTAGGAGTTCCAAAAATCTCCCTATTTTTAAATAATAGGCAGTCATTTAATCCAGAGTTGCATGTTACTAGTAAAAGTGAAACACGTATGGTAAAAAACTCTAAAACAATAAGAAGGTTACAATGCTGAGCTTTTAATGTTCTGATCACATTCTGATTAAACATGTTTTTGAACTCCTTGAAATACCTGGAAGTAATAATTTTCACACAGTATGTCATAGCATATATCCAATGGATTAACCAGCTCTTCTTGTAGGATAGCTGTGCCTGTTGCTTTTGCAGGCTTTTCCTGCGATAAGCTGTGCAAATAGTGGGCAGCAATGGTCCAGAAATGCAGTTCAGATTCATCCCCATACAGTCTGAGAAGATACAAATTAGGACGTTAAATATGTTTGTATTTTTTCACGTGTCACATAAAAATATTACATACTGAAAATATATTTTTACAAAGACCACGCATTATTGTGGCATCACAAGTACTTTACATTATCAGTGGGACAAACTACGAGAAAAGATTAAGAAATGACATTCAGCAAGCTAGATAAATAAGAGGTTCGCAAGAAAACTGTTACAACAACAGTTAAACTCAGTGAATGTTCAGCATACAAATACGTGGAAATTGATATTTTATTAGCATTTCACACCTAATCACTAATATCGCCTTTCAACTACAGGAAAGTTACCAAGTTTGAAAAATATCTCTGAATATAGACAGACTAAAATTAGCTACAGTTTAGGTAGAAGAACAACATAGGACAAGTACATTTGAAATAAAAAATACACCTTCCCTTGTTTGCGTATAATCTATTGTGTGTTCTGAATTCCGAATTACATTTTTGGGCATTGTACAATTAAAGGCAGCAGAACTGCATTTTTTAAAGCACCACCAAGACTGAAGGCAGTTCTCTACACCCAGCAAGCAAATAAAACTAAGTGTTTCAGTAAGGTAACATTTCCATTCTCGGTCCTGAAAACACTCTAATACATAGGTAACGAAATACTTTAGGAATTGCCCTGAGTTAGAGGAGAATTAGGTGAGTACTTCAAAATCAGCACATTCATACGCATTAATAGGATCAAGCTTTTATTAGGAAGCATTTGATACAGTTATCCGAATCTTTACTACCTGGCAACTAGGAGACATCTTTGCAAGAGAGTAAAATTCGGATCAAGCAAAAGTTTCTTTATGTCACTGCAAAAAGAGAAAGACATGAATAATCTGTAAAATGCTGTGCAAGTTTTTTTGTTTGGTTGTTTTTTCAACACAAATCGGATATGTCACCTACAAACTGAAGAAAAAATCAAAACAAAAAATACACATTTTCTGTTCTGAACTGAAAAAATGCATCTATCAAAACAATTACAACAGGAAGTATCCATAATTTGAAATATAATTGATCTGAAGGAGCAAGTTACTCTACAAGTTTCAATACAAATAGTGAGTCTGTCAGGAACCCCTTAGTCTTGTAATAAAGGGAACAACCACAAGGGTGTAGACGAAGCTATAAATCAGTCTGCAGTGATTCTACAAATTACAAGTTTAATTCCACCACAAATAATTTTGCATCTATGTATAGCCATAGCATAAGAGAGATATCCACATGCATTCTACATATGTTTCATACTGGATAAACATATGCCAAGTCATCTTTTTCATCCTACTAAATGAAAGAACAAAAGGAATATCGAAAAACTGTTTAGTAGCTTCAAATATAATTTTCATAGTTTAAATGGAATGTAAAAATCAGTTTTCTGTGTAAGCAAAGTGCATGAACATTACTCTGGAAGTAGATCTTCAATAAAAGATTTTTAGAATTGTTTGTCTTGTCTTCCTCAGAGCTTAAATATCTTAACAAACCTTGGAGTATTTAAGTAGCAGTGTCCAATACAGTCTGGACCAACATCAAAGAACCATACATCACCAAGCCTACAAAATTATGAATACTCAATGGTCAATTACAATTACAAACTAGATACTAACACTAATTAGTATCTTTAAATCTCTGATTGTCAGCCACTAATACAAGTCAATGCTCAAAATTAAATACTGACTTCCATCACACTTCACATACTCAAAACAATACATTTTGGCTGTCGAGTCAATATTTAATAAACTAATTTGAGATTGTTTGCTTCTTTAAAAAAATTTTTTTGAGATTGTATTACAGCTTATTTTTCATTAGAGAAAATAGAAAAATGTAAAACCTTCAAGAAAATAAATAAAGCATCACCCTTAAAATGACATAAAAATAAAAGTTAATTGTGTTTAAAATAAAAGCTGTCATTACTCAAGCTTATCTTCAGAGAGGCAAAAAGCATTCTTTCTTCAGTAAGTTGTGAATTGCCACAATTTTCAGGGTTTTTGCCTCCTCTGAATTGACTAGCTTACTCAAATATTCATAGGAAAATTCTTACTTGGACAATGAATTCAACTGCTCTTGAAGAAGGTTTTTAATATTTTCATTCTCTGGATAATCACTAGGTAAAAAAAACCAAAAATTAAAAAAAAAAAGTAAAAGGCTTCTTGTATTACCAAAATGACAGAATTCTCTGAAATGAAAGAGCATTACTGAACTGATAGTAGAAAACCACAAGAACATATAAGGAAACAATCTTTCATATCGTATGGTAAGCCATTCACGCAAGATTCTTTGTCTAGTTACTAGTTCCAAAATGAAAGACTGGTTTTGCTTTCTCTCAACCTCAGAGTCAGTGCCACCAATCTTTCTTTTTCCACTTCTCTTTTATTCACTAACCTTGAAATTAATGAAAACAACAGCTTGCCCATTATTACGTGACCACCAACGGTACACATACACAACGAAGGATACAGAAAGGTGCTCCTCTATGAAGTGAAGCATGGCTCGCTCAAAGCAAAGAAATGCTTACTAGACTATTTGCTAGAATATCACTTTCAGTTACATTTTAGGAACCAACTCTGACTATTCTTACATTAAATTCTTGAACAAAGAGAACACACAGTTGTTCTCTGAAGTAACATAACCTGTAATGACACAATAATATTGCCAGTACCTTAAGGCAAACAGCAGTTTTCAATAGCCAAGGGCTACTGAAAGCCAAAAGAAATATCTGACCTAAAAGACTTTTCTATTTATTACTTTTAGTAATGAACAGTGAAACTATTATCTTTCTGACTGTCCCATAGAGTGAGGAAACTTACACGTCTAACAGTTATTTGCACAGAATAATAAAATATGTAGGATTTAAAAAAAAATTATATATATATATATTTCTCCTTACATGTTTATAATATCTAGAGAATATCTCTCATCCCACGGCTGATGCAACAGGAATGCTTTTAAAGCTAATGAAGCCCTTGGAACCAGCAGATAGGGACACCATGCAGGTTCTGAAACAAAAGGAAAAGATCCATTGTTGAGTGGCTGATGTGCAATAACATTGTGTTCAGTGACCATAAAATGTATCACCTTGTTTGCAAGCACCAGAAGAAAATCATAAATCACAGTCTTTTCACATACACAGCATGGGTTACTAGACATAAAAGCTTATCTTTACACTCAAGCAAAAACATTTCATAGAAGGTACAGGGTTATCAACCACGCTCAAATGAGAATTTCAGGACACTCCGTATTGAATTTAGTCATAGACTCCTGGAATGTGTTATATTGGCATTAAGTAGAGCTGTACATGATTATTGCTACTACAAGGACATGCTGGAAAATAAGTACAGCTATGCCAAAATGTACCACACTGTACGTTTTAGTTTTACTTTGCAGTTGCAGTTTCTACAGTATAATACAAGGATTAACACCGTCATCCCAAAAGGATGTTGTGAAGTTTAATACATGTCTATATTCGTAAAGAAATAAGATGAAAATTATAGTACTATCTGTCGTCTTCCAAATTTAGAAGTTAGCAAGTCTGTATTCAGTACAAGTTTTGAATGATATGCAGTAAATGCTACCCAGCGACTTGGGAGTAAAACAAATACCAACCAGCTACGTATTAAATATTCAGCAATTCCCTGTACTTCATACACACTGAATGATGTAGGAATCTTCTAAATGTGATTTTGTAATTATAAGATTATCACAGTGTAGAGGCAGAAGGACAGCTAAATCACAGGCACCTTAACCCTGGTGTATCCTAATGTCAGCGTGCTTGGTTTCAGAACGTTGATTTTTATAGTTTAATATTACAGAACATTCATTTGATAGTAAAAAGAGCTGTGATAAATTATGTTTTTCCTCAAACATCCCACACAACAGCTGCCTACATCACAATTTTGTTTGTTACGTACGTCTTAGTCAGAAAGTACATTTTTTAAGGAAATTGTATGAGCAAAGGCAGGATTGACCAAAAAGACCAAAACAAAAGCAGTTATTTGGGACACCAGTAATAACAAAAAAAGAAAAATGTAGCTTAGCTAACTTTGTAAACAGCTAAATGTCTAAATTCCCTTCCTAAACACATGGCAAAAATAGTCAAACAGCCCTAACAGTGCTATTTCAGAGTTCAGTGGGAAAATCTACTTTGAAAAGAAATGAATCAGTTACAAACTGCCTTTTCTATCTGGAAATACCAGAAAAGATATTTTCACACATTAACAAATGTTTCAAAATCACGTGATGAATTTCAGCGATATAGGTACTTATACACAATTCATGCACTGATCCTTTTTAGGCCAACTTGCTAGATATCTGTATAAAAAGCTCTTATTTTGTTATCTTATATTTCGATTAAGATATTAAAAAGTATAGTTTATTTAGGAGGCTAAACCTGTACAAAAAACCCACCCATATGCCATAAGCCTAGAAAATTTATCTGCATCTATGAAAACCACTATAGGGACACCTAATACTCCACACACGACAAATCTCCGTTCTGATAGAAGTGATGAATGTTTTTATGGTCCGCTTTCCAAATGAAATACCCAGCAGTCAACAGCAAAAAGGAAGCCAACATACCTATTAAGTCCTGCTCATCCATTCTAAAACACGATGGTTTCATAGACAAGTCTAGAACTCTAATGCACCCATCATCTGATGCCAAGACCACCTTGTCCGAAGTGCACCAGTCCACATCCAGGATTCGGAAATTCACGTTTCTTCCACTTCTTAAACTGCTTACCATTTGTACCTTGAGAAGTTGAGTTATTTTTCATTTTTAGTAGTCTCTCCATCACACAGTGTAAGACTCTGTCACATGCCCATGAGGCATACCACAAAATGTGCAATAAAAGGTGAAGTTAGTAATACATCATTTTAATGATGGTCTCTTCCGGAGAGTAGGGAATTAAGAAACCTTGAACTAAGGCACATGGTTGCCCTGAAACAATACTTCTTCCCAACTGAGAGCTGAGAAAAGATCCTTTTGAGCACAGCTATACAGCTGCCTTTTTGTTATCTTTTCTGATACAAAATTTCCACCGTAAACTGTTGGAAATGTACAATCCCTCTTTAATTCCAGTATGGATCTAGCACGCGTGCATCAAGGGGAAGTGAGGTTCTCATTAACTAACTCATGCCCCTCTTAAACATATACTTTCTTGATAAATACTGAACTTGTCTAGAAATACATTTAGACATACTATTAACATAATATTATGGGAACAGGATGATTTATTGTCTACAAATAAAACTTCTAAATGGCATTTTCAACCACAGGTCGGTAATTACACATTTTATAATCCTTCCGTAGCATCACAGAACATGACAACTGTTAATATAAGGAAATATTAACAAAGCCTCTGCTGCAATCAACATTCCACTGTTTCCTTTCACTTTTTCTAGAGCAAAGCATGAAGTTAGAGAGATGTAAGGTACAACAGCTCGAGAGCTTGATTACTCGTAGCACTAAGAGAATTAGAGAAAAGTGTGGAAATATCGGATAACCAGTTGTATGCAAAGGTGAAGTTCTAAGGAAAGGATTATATGGAAAATAGGACTGTGACTATAAAATATTTCTACAGGTATTTTAAAACATTTTAATCTGAAAATGTGAAGTAATTTTAAATGCTTTCATGTATCCCAAGACATCAAAACTATTCAACTGTTCTTCAAGGAGAGACTCAGGGGATAATATCCTACTCTGCCTACGTAATTCACAGTTGTTGGTCATATCTGCTGTCCAACTCCTATCATCAACAGAGAGTTACATATTGCTCAAATTCAGTGTCCGATTTCAGACCTACTGGTACTCACTACAAAACGAACATTTCACACTCTCATAACCTGAACTTACTCCAGGGGGCTAAGTTAAAAGAGCACAATCATCTTTCCTTCCCCATGGTACCATAATCCCCTGAAAGACCTATGAAGCAAACCCCAGACGATTTCTGAACATTACTACAGAATTTTTGAACTAGATGAGAAGCTAGACAATATTAATTAACAATTGTCTAGCTTTCTGGTATTCCCTAACAAATTAAATCCATGCACTGAAGAACAGACACTCTTGAATATGCACAGAATTTAAGAAACCTGTAGTAAAAATACTCTCTTGTCCACAGATTAAATTCTCAGACTGAGGACTCCTCTTACATTTTCAACATCTGCCTCAAAAACATTACAAGAGAATGACAAAGAGCATCTCATAGACATTGTCAGCTTTATAAGTGAAAGGTACTTTTCTCTGATGACAGCTTAAAAATGCTTTATAGGAACTAAAAGTCTTCTGAGAAAAGTGAGGTAACTTTATTATACAACTGTCAACAAGAAATCTTGACAAAGTAAAACTTAATGCCCGATTTGTCTTGATTTTCAGAAGTAATACGTGTATTTTGCACAGAAGGACATATGAAAACAACAGACGCTTACCTCTTTTGAATCCCATATTTCTGCTCCATCATTGTACATTGCAAGAAGTTTTTGATTTCCTTTCCCTGGGGCAAAGCGTATCTTTTTCACCCAGCTTCGGTGTGTAGGAATCCCCCTAAGAAAAGAAAAGTACAAGATTAGATCAATCTATATCTAATAGTGTGGGTAAAATTCTTTCCATGAACATTGCAGACTGTATTGTACAGACTGAGAAGGAGAACTTTATATATATACACACATGGCTATACAAATTATCACGAAAACCGAAAAGATGAAATGCTTGAAATAAATACTACAATAATTAATGTTTTATCAGAAGCCACTGCAGAATTAACATAAGAAAGATATCTAGCTCTTTTGAAAACTTTGACAAAATGTTATTCCATCTGATAAAGATAAAAGAGAATTGTAACACAGTAGGCATTTTCTGAAATTTTGTTTCAAAATACTTGCATTTTTCCCCTCAAACACCACAGACGACATGCTACAGCAAAGAACAAAAGTGAAGGAGGAAAAAACATGCTAACACTCATTATGTCATGTTTATCAGAGTTAATTTGCATTCATACCTGGATACTCTAGCTTTCAAATCCCAGAAGTTTAAGTTTCCATCAACGTCTCCAAGAACCAGAATATCTCCTTTCCAGGCAATACATGTAATGCTACCCATACTTCCCTGGAAATATTTAAGAAACAGAATAAAGACTTGTGATTAACAGAGCTAAACAGGAACAAACATTTCAACATTAGTATTTCATTTTTTTGAAATATTATATGACATGATAGACCAAATTCTGCTCAGTTAAAACAGAAACAATTCTATGAATATAAGCATTTATCAAGTCAGCCACATTTGCTTCAATGTGCTTCAAAAGACATTTCCTTGTAAGAAATTTTGGGTTTAAAGCAATTGAATTCAGTTCTCTGCCTTTTGTTGCAAGGAAACACCAACATGACAGACCTCATTAAACACAGTACTAGCATATACTAAAGCAGGAAACAAAAATAAAAAATTCTTACTTTTAAGTTCAATGTATCAAACTCTTCAAGAACAAATAAAAAAAGAATCTTCTTCAGATTACTGGAAAACACCCAAACTTCAAACTCACAAAAGAGTGATCTGGCCCACTCAAGTCCTCTTTACGATGTAAGATAAAAATCCATTAACAGTGCATAAACATGTTTCAGTAACACCCTCTTTGTTATTCAAGCTTTTTGTACATGCTTTAGTGAAATTTTTGAAAACGTGTCATGTAATTTACTCACAAAGCAAGTCAGGGTCTATGAAGATTCTAACTTGTAAAAAAATCATTTATTTCAACATCAGTTTTGGCAGAAAAACTATAAGAATGTGCAAAGAGAACTGCTACCGTTTTTGAAGCTGGAACTTTAATTTCATATTTCAAACTACTGCATTAATGACCACTTGCCACTGCAAAGCATATCTCTGATTTTTTTTCTGGCAATCATAGCTAAGAAAAAAAATTAAAGCATCAATACTATAGAAAATTGGAACTCACATCAGGAGGAATTCTTGCACTGTCTTTTACTGAGTTTCCTTCTACTGTGAGATGATAAACCTGCCCATCGGCACCTGTAAACACAAAGTGCTCTCTGGCAGAAATGTTCTGGCTCAGCTCCGATTTGCTTTCAGCTTCCTGTAACAAGCTTTAAAGAGAACACAATGAGACACAAGCATTTCTTTCTTGAAATTAGAACTGCAAGGCAATTTCTCCCTAACGCACACAAGCAGCACAAAAACGCATGTTTCCTTCAGGACAATTTACCAGAAGTCACAGTTAACTCACTTAAACATTTGCGGCAATGTTCAGGGGGCAAATAAGAGTTTTACTTGCAAGATCCAGCTAACCAATGGACTGCTACAGACACACCTGAGAAACGGGTACCCTGTTTTTCTCAGTCAGCAGTAACCTTTGACATCTAAAAGCTAAAGGGAGGCTCCTACACTTGTTCGCCTGGTATGTACTCAAGATTCAGTTCCGAAACATTCTGTTCTGCAGAACAACGACACAGGGTGGAAAACCAATTAATGCAGAAGAGCACTAAATCCGAATCGGAAATACCTGATAACAGAAGATTCTACGCTGCTGACTTCAGTATCTGATGCAACCGTCTGTCGGGCCATGGCCTCACGGGCTGCTAACTGCTTCTTCCTCAGGCTTTTCAAGTTATGAGAAGGTGACCACTCCTGTGCAAAAAAATGGAAGAGACAAATGTTTAATCTCTGAATTTATTGGGGACTTCTCTGTTAATTATAGTGATTTCAATGAAGATTGCCTTCTGTGATACCTCCTCCCATCACCCAACGAGCAGACCAGATTTTTCCATCAGTACCTCCTTTTTTTTGCCTCTATTTGATGACAGATAAAACCAGAAGAGTGAAAACACTTCTCTGTATGCTGCAGATACAGTAAAATTCTGCTGCAAAATCCTTCACAGATTTTTATATTGTGTCAACATATTACATTTAATAAACAGTAAGTAACAGATTTTATTCCTTACCAAAGCGGTTACTGTAGGGAAGTTCTTGGACATTTCTCTGAGCAGAGTGCATGTTCTAACATCCCAGATCTCCAGTGGTTTGTCTTTAAATACTACAGCTAGATACTGCCTGAAACAAATAAGAATTTACTACATCTAAAGTAATCATTCCATTTTAATTTCACGATTTTACTTCACATGCACTGTTCACATCAGCACTCTGGAAACCCTCGAAAACTAAGAGGAAGCAGAGTAAATTAATTTGGCTCAAATCCCACTCCGAAGTTTGTGAGTTCCTGGAGTAACTGAGGTGCAAAAGAGTGTCTGAAAAAAGAGTCCTCCTTCAAAGCTAAAAGAATTAGAAATTTCTGTCAGGAGGTACTGTTCAATTACTGTAAAGGAGATGAGGGACAGAATTCAGAGAAGGCAGCAGCAGCTCTAATTTAACACATATTCAGCCCGCATTGATGACTGCCTAAGATATCTGAAAAACACACCAAGACTGTAGGTTGGACTGATTTTTTTTCTCTACTCCAGACACCTGCTACTTCTCTAATCTGGTGACAAATGAACATAAAATCCTCTTACACTAAACCACTTGTCAGTCACCTCTTCAGACCTTTCACCTGTGGAGCTAGAAGAGTAAAACACCTTCAGTCCACCACTTTTCACATCAAACTTGAAAATACAGAGAGGCTCTGCAGCTGTATGTACTCTTCTCAACTGCATTAACCTCTACTCATATGAACTATCCTTTCTTGTTCTCACTTAACATTCTAGTCTCTTCATCTAAGCCCACAGCTGTTCTTAATTTTTAATATATTAATAAGACCATCGTATGGTTGAACTCGTGCATATTCTCTGGAGCACACACACACTTTGGAAAATATTCCTATGCAAGCTAAAGAACATCAATTTTTTTCCTCCACTATAAAGAAAAAAACTTTCAAAATTTAGAGACAATGCCTCATCTGATTCAACACTGCTTTAATTTCACTTACACAGGAAAGCAAGTAATCTCAAACAGTACTACTGTTAGTATTTTTGATACTACCAAGCTCAGGGCCTCCTGTCACACGCCTGATCTCAAAATAATGGTAAACAACATGGTCGTTTATCAGCTGACTTTTCAAACAACTATACCTCACATCTGGCTTTCCAACAGACAGTTATTATAAAGGTGTGAAATACATTCTTAGGAAAAACTATTAAACATGTGAAAAAATCATCCCACCTTCAATGCTAATCTTCTAGTTTTAAGTAAGGCCTAAATTACAGAAAAGGGAATTAACTCATAACATAATCAAGCTGACAAAAATTATTCAGCACGTCTATTTTCCCTAATTTTGTCAAAACATCCGTTCTATGAGCACAATTCTTAAAATAACTAAAATATTAATGGCTGATCTTGCAATGTGATTGGATCCTGAAGTGACAAAGTCAACCACAGAAACATTCACAGCATTTGCACTTTGAACTAATAAATATTCTAAAGTATTTTTCTCTAGATGCTGTTGCACATTTTGCTATACTCTCTGGAGTGTTTTTTCCTGGAATTTCTATTATTTCTATTAAATCATGAGGAACTTCATGCAGTACAGTAACTTCTATAAACTTCACGAGGCTCATGTACCTACTTCAAATGAGACACCTTTATCATTTCAATCGCTGGCTCATCATTGCCTCGCTCCCCACGAAAGGCGATGCTCCTGCCTGCAACACAGAAACAACATGGGGGAAAACAGAAACAGTTACTAAACTAAATATAAATATGGAAATATTCTGCTTGCAAAAAGAAATAGTTCACAAACTAAACTAGAACATCTCTGAGTAACCTGCCCTATCTTGCACTACTCTTGTTGCTGTTGAAGTTTTACTGTGTTTCAAAGGACTAAATATAATGTAAACTCTACTGTCTAGTGTCGCACCTGACTTGCTTCTAGAGCACAACTACTGAAATTGAGGCAACATCAGCATTACATAAAGAGTTGAAAGAGTTCTTATTTAACACTTAAAGTCAATGAGATACATTCTCAACTCCCAAAGTAGGAAATTTACGAGTAGATTTCAAGTTTTGTAAAAGAAATTAACTCTGCCATAAACTAAATCTGAAAGTACTTTCATGGTGAAGTACTAACTCATTTCACACTTAGCAGAATGATTCTCTCTTTCTTTCCAGCTAAAAGAATAAATCCTAGTAACTTATAATCTTATCCTCAACAAAATTTTCACCCACCTGCACAAAGCATTGCAGAATTAAAGGTGTTACATGTATCACTAAAATAAATAATGAACTACAAATGCCAGGGTATCACAGCATCTCCTGTGCAAGTTTCATTCTCCTTAGCTTTCCAGAAAAATTCTTGTTTTCAAGCTTTACCTACTCTTGTGACCACTCGTAGCAAAATGACTTATCTTTTGCCAATTATGTGAATAAATCTAGTTATCAACTAGATAGTTAGAGCTCATGTCAGAGGCCAGGCTACGGGAAAACCTTCCAGCTCTATTTTCTTCATTAGTGATCAGACACCTGAGGAATTTTCTTCCTTGTTGTTATTCAGAAATGTAAATGAAAATTTTGTAAAAGTGTTTATGAAGTAAACACAAATCAGCACGGCCTTCCTAGAACTAAAATAGAAAGCTGGGCTAATTAGCGATGGAAAACCCAATGGTGAAACAGTTAAGTAGCTATGTCTTTGTTGTAAGTTTTAAAAGTGGAAAAGTAGTATTATCAAAGCAAAATATATGCTAAGGTGTCAAGTATTCACATTTACTTGGAGCTTGGTTGCCTGCAGAAATACTCAGCCTTTTCTCACATATTTTGTAAATCAGTATTGAAACATTTATAAACTGAGAGAAAAAAATTAAAATCCCGTTTTACATTAAATGAATTTTACAAAACACCTAGCTTTTGTTTCGATTTTAAACAAATGACCAAGACATTATCAAGGAAAAAATTACAAAATTGTTATGTTAAAAGCACAGCCTCTTGCTGCAGCAGCCTGTAAATACAAAAATTGAGTCATTTCCATAAGCTTAAAAAAATTTAAAAAACCCCACACTTTATGCTACATAAAGCAATTCAGAATCAGCATGTGTTAAAAGATTCAGGCTCTTCATTAGAAATTAAATGGCTCCAGGTTTTCTCATTCAAAAATAATTTCAAATTATTGAAGTGCTTCCTATTTTGGGCTGTCTAATCTTCCAAATTATACCTAGCATTGTGCAAATACTGAACTCACATCCATTATCAGGCCAGAGTAGTTGAAAAACACACGTAATCTGACCATTAGCTTTGCTATCAACTGTGTCTTCAAAAAAGTTCTTTATTTTGTAACTTTTCAATTCTTAATAATTAAATTGGATAATTTTATAAAAATACCCATTTTACGTTCATACCCACACTCAAATTCTGGCCACACATCTGGCCTACCTTGAAAAATAATCTGTTGCTGATACAAACTACAACAAACGGTTCAGTACTATTCCAGGTGCACACGAAACAATGGGTGCAGACTGTGTCAAAACTCATTTGGAAAGATACGCATTTCGGAACAAAATGCACCACTAATACCCCTTCTGTGTGAATGCTCCTACACCTCCTGGTGACATCTACTCAGCCTTTAAAGCCCAAGCCACAGACACCTCTACAAAGGTGTTGCTTTAGAGCATGAGACAGAACACATTTTGCGGCTTCACAAGGACAGAAGAGCAGAACCAGTTAAAACTCCTCTTTATTATTTTGCTTTGTCGTGAGAACAGAAGGAAAAAGTACTAAGAACTCCTGTTTGTCAGTCCCCAGCAAATCTGTTAGACTCTCATACAGATTTCTCAGGAAATACTAACCTGTTGGTAGGTCCACCAGCTGCAGTTCATTCCTTACTAGCCCCAGGTTGTTAGGTGTTGATGTGGCAAAGGAAATGAACCCAGTCAAGCTTATCCACTCGATTCCCCTGGCACAGAACAGAGTAGAGGGAGCATATTAGCCTAAATATTCAAATGGCTAGAAAATGGCCTGGACTGAAGTACAATATTTTTTTTTCATGTATATTCTTCCATTTGAAAACAGCACAGAAATAATTTTCTACATCTTATGGTAAAACTATATTTAAGCATAAGAAGCAGCTACGCATTTACAACTATGATGTAAATATACAGTTAACAAAACCAAAATTTCAGTTAGAAACACTGGTAACTTTTGCAAAAATCCCTCCCACACACTCCGCACTAGAGCGGACTAAAATCACTGCTCTCACTAAATCAGTTATTTACCAGATGGGAAGAACTATCAAGTAACTCAAATTTGCCAGCATACAGAAAAATATTCATATGGATAGCAGGGTGGGGAGACGTGATTCTTTCGGTCCAGAGAGAGGAGAAACAAAGATGATAAAATAAGAGAGGCCCTGTAGAGATTTCAAAGGCTATCACAAAGGAACTTGAAAACTTGATTTTTTTTTTTTTATCTTTTAGACCACGCCAAGGCAGCCACAAACCTAATTACCTCGAAGTCTTGCAAGGACCTAAAGTTACACTGTATGTAACATATCGTCAGCACATGTGGATTCTTAGCAAATTCTGGAGCTATACCACAGGCCACAAAAGGACAGAAAGCAGCCCTAGGCAGTACCGTTCCAAAACGAGCTAGTCCTCTCCGTACCCATTTCCCACATATACTTTGTGCCAGCATGAACTGCCGAGTGTTATATCTGTGAAATAAATCATGGAATTAATCTAAAAGAAAATTGAGACTGTTCTAATACATACACATGCCCAAGTTCATTTTAAGTTGGTTAAAAGGATTTAAATTTTCCTCAAATCCTTCAAATGCAGATTACTTTAGAACTATTTCCAGTTCTAAGTCTTCTCCTACATCAGTTGGAAAATCATGGTCTATTTTTCGTAAGAATATAGACAAAATATGAGAAAGAAAAATAACAGTATTTATGAGTCACTGTCAGTAAAACCAACCCACATCGTATTAAGTAGAAGTTACAAGTTACAGTCATATTTGTCTTTATTTCCTTAGTTCAAGCTTCAAAAATACAGGAAGTTTTATTCTTAAGTCTTCAAATAAAGTTAAAAATTTAGGACTCAGTCCTTGTCCCACAGGGACCTATGAAAGTTCAACCAATAATTTCAATCAAAATGAGAAGTAGTCAATTATTAATTGAAACATTACAGGAATGATTGAACAGAAATCTACAACTGCAATAATGTGTGACAGCAGGTCTCTGAAGAGTCATAAATACAGGGAGCTTTCTGAAATGGAAGAAATATAAATTCCGACACCTTTCTAATTTTTATGTTTTATTTTACTATGTTATTTGGAAAAAGCACAGGATACTCATAATGTATTGCTATCACCAACAGTTATTCACCATTCCCATTCAAAGACCTGAGGCATTTTCTGCACTGCTTTCATCAGCTCAGATTTAACAGGACAAGTCTTTTTTTTTCGCTGCCGGCTGGCCATTTGTCAATACCAAAAAATATCTACAGAAACCCAAGACATTCATAATCAAAAGGAAACCTTAGCTTAGATAACTGCTTGCACCTGAAATAATATAATTTTTGTTTTTGTCATACATACAAATTCGGAATCTGAAGAGAGTGGTTCAAGTTTTAATGCAGGATATACATAATGCCTTCCCTACTGAAATATCTCCATTTGCAAAATTTCCTAATAAAAGACATCTTTGTCTGCTAGAATTAAAGGTTACATTCAGCTGTAAACTATTTCTCAGACTGGATCCACTCTTCTAAAATATGAAATTCAGGGATTTTTATATATTCAACTTGTCTCAGTCACTTCAGGTGTAAGATTCAGTTGTTTTGATTAACGTTTCCAATGTAAACATATTACAGAGTGTACTGAAGTGGATAAAAACACAGATGACTTTTCTACTTGGGAATGGATTGTTGTGACTTTATGACAAGGCAGCTGCTACTCAAATTAATTATAAAAATTATAAGAAAAGGAGAAAGGTAAAACTGGAAAAAACCCCTTATCTTAAAGAAAACTGTATTAAAATCTCAGTCGTATTATCAGAAAATACTCCCAGCCTCAAATGCTATTATTTAAAAAGAATTTTCCATGCACTTGAAAAGTATCTGTATGGTCTACGTGTCCAAAAGCCAACATCAGTAGTGGAGTAAGGTTTTTCTTTTTAAGCGGACGGTTAAGAAAAAGAAATTCCAATTAAGTGCTGAGCATGGTACATCTGAGCTAATGGTACATCCTGTAATGGCGACTTCAGAATTCAATTCCGAATATGCAGGATTTCATTGCAATGCTGCTTGTGCTTGTCAGGCAACGCGTATTTACTAACGCACAGCAATAAATCTAGCACTCCAACACCGGCATGACAGAAGCGATAGGTATTTTTCACTCAGCTTTCTCCTCAAGAGGAAAGTTTTTGTTAAGGAGGTGATGAATGTTTGCAGAGCAGTCTCGCAAAGGGGAGTCGGCTTAAACTCAGCTGTTAAAACATGGGTGTAACACAGTCATTTTCAAGTTTTGCCTGTAGGCCATACATATTCTTGTTACAGTCAGTGAGATCTTAATTTTAAAAATTAACACTGTTGCAAACTTGAACTTGCTGAGCTTCAGCAAAAAGAATGAGAAACACTGCTCTAGTCATAGTTATCTATCAGAATAAGCAAAAGCAGCAGTGAGAGGCACACCACTTTCACTCGACTAGAAGCTACATCGGAGGCCTTTGATTTCGATGTCTCAAACACATTCTCCTCAGCACTGAAGACGCACTACCATTTCCTACTTCACCACAATAGCTTAGATTGTTCTACTGAAAAGACAGAACAGGAATCGGACTTAGCTATTCCATGGTTCTTCCAATTCCTCTTCGTAGTAAGAATTAATCGCATTTCGCTGTGTTCTGAGGGAAGACAGACCAACCTGCTCACCGCTTCTTCCCGCCAGCACACATGCTACAGTCTCCCTCTTTTCCTCCCCCTCGCTTCTGCTCCTAGCCACAGCCTGACTGACTCTTCCTCTGTGTGCTCTGCAGCATTTCTGCTGCTTCTTGTCTCGGTCGCCTAATAAAAACCAAATTAAACTCAATGGAAAAGTATGCACTCACACAATTATAAACAAAAAGTGAAATAGCTAAGTAATGATCACGGAAAAAATGAATATTCAAGGTTACTCACGAGTATGAACTACCTTAAATGGACGACAGAAAAACAATTCTGCCTACTCCTAATCACAATACAGAATCACAAAGTTTAAAAATAATGAGGAAAAAAAACAAACCAGCATGTGCCTACCTGTGTAGCCTCTAAAAAAGAACACTTTAAGCTCAAAAAAAATGTCAATTGCTAGCACCTAGACAACTCAGTGGCCATTATTTTAGCAGAGCTGATATGTAAAGGAGAGTTGCCATTCCAAAGACTTTAGTTTTATTACATTCTCTTTTTCAACTTGGAAGGCACTGAAAACTCTGCTGGCCTTGACTTACAATTTCAGGGTATTCTCAGTTATATACACTAAAATATCAGTGTTCCCTGAAGGTGTATTTTCATTTAAAACTGAAATAGAGGCATCATCCAATCTATCTGGATTTTAGAAGTAAAGTAAGAATTCCCACTGAAAGAAAAACTGTTACACTCCATGAATATTAATTAAAAAGAAAAAAAATTTCTCTGCCTTATTCTACACTGCTTAAAAGTACTCCCTCGAACTTGTAAAAATTATGCAGAAAGTCACTCTGACCATTAAGAGCGGGACTGAGGAAATTAAAACCAATATTTAAAGGACTTACCCAGGTAACAGTTTATGACTACACAAAATTCACAATCATTTAATTTTGTTCTAAAAATACCATTGAATTCTGTAACCACCTTAATGAGAAAAAAAGCATTATCTTCTTGTGCTGTATAACAGAACATAAAATGAAAATAATTTTGTAAGTAGTTAATGGTATGAAACAAAAAACCTGAAATGGTTTAGAACAGAAAAGGAAATTCTATTCTTATAGTGACCACTAATCACACCACAAATGTAAATACACTTACGTGACTTTGGTGGTAGATTCAAAGCAGGTTTACAAGAGTTCTATATTCTCAAGACATCTCTACTTTTCTTATCTTTTTTGTAGAATGAACAGTAAAACGAAGACCTTACCCTGATGAAGGCTTCACACCACAACTCTGGTACAAATTTTTACTAATATTACTACTAAAAATAAATATTTTATTTTCCATGCTTAAATCTGCCTAGAAATATGTATCCAGCAAGCACCACCTTGAATATCTTTGCCATTAGTTATCCAAAAAGTTATGCCACTGTGTACACACAACACACATTCCAACAGCTTTAAAACTAACTCTGCTCCTTACTTAGGATGGATAAATACCGAATCCTATATTAGGTCTTTAAAATCTTCTAACAATAAAACTATTTTTACTTCAGTTAGGACTAGAACTGCCTCAATAGCAATTTCAGCTTCAAGGGGGCAAAGTAAATAAACCTTGGCGTACAAAACAGAATTATTTCAAAGGACACAATCTGTGAGTCACGACAGTTATTTATATAAGACACTGTAATAAAATTTTTTGTCCTAAAAAGACTTCTTTGTACTACAGTGCACCAAAGAAACTGGAAGTAGTTGATATGCATCATAGATCAGCAGGCAGAGATAGAATTCAAATATTTAGTTCAATGTAATTTTCACTCTAATTTCATCAGCTCATTACTGCTTATATATAACAAAGATACTGTTAGGGCAGACTACTTAACAGATTATTTTCTTAAGCATCATTAACAACGAAACAAGACATCCACATCACTGGTACAACGTTAGGTGTTTTAAGCTTTGTCTCCCAGAAGGATTATAGTAGGGATTAAAATTAGGGTGGTGAAACCCTGGCACTGGTTGCCCAGAGAGGTGGTCGATGCCCATTCCTGAGAACATTCCGGGCCAGGTTGGACAGGGCTCTGAGCAATCTGATCCAGTTGAAGATGTCTCTGCTCACCGCAGAGGGGATTGTGCTAGATGGCCTTTAAAGGTCCCTGCCAACCCAAACTACTCTATGGTTCTATGAAAATTAAAATCTTACTTGACTTCACAGGAATGGATGCTTAACTCCTTGTGCAGAAGTCCACTTGTAAGATGAAACACCAGGACAGATCCATTACTTGTACCTATAAAGAGTGATTTAAAAAAATAGATACATAGACTCATTTAATTCTTGTCTTCCATACTTTACTCAAAATGCAGGATTTACAGTTATTTCTCTCTTCTTTCTTTATTATTTTTAATACCTGTGACTTATCTTTAACAATTTTAGAAAAGCTATTTCGATTTCTAGTGCTCTAAACCCCAAATATTAAACCTTCCAAAGTTCTCTGCAGTCAGTGAAATTCACTTGGATCATAACATTTCCTGAACCTACTCATAGAGCCCATAGAAAATCTGTTTGTTCTTCTTGCATTTTCACAACATATCCTGCAACTGGGTAAACAACTGTTTCTTTTTGTTTTGATTACTCAAGATGAGTACTAACTGTTATCCACCAATAATCTCAGAGGAGAATCATGGCTAAGATTTTACCAAATCATTAAAGCAATTCTGCTTTCTCACCCCTGAAATAATGACCTCTTTCAAATTACAAATCAATAACTTAGTAGCTATTAGCTTCAATTAGATCAAATAACTTCTGAAACACCTAAAGTTACAATTTTCCTATTAGACACGGGGAAGACTTCTCCTTTTTCTTCATACTCATATATCAACTTCATTAAATAGAACAATGGATACCTAAAGACCCATTCAGGTACCTTAAGTCTAGAATGCTGCAGATCTTGCTCTACCTACCTAGGACCTTTATATCTACCTATTAGTTTCCTAATCTTTATATTTCACCTGTTTTAACAGCTACAGCTTATATAAAAATCAAAAGTTACATTTTAGTAGCATCACATCACGTAATGAAAGTTTGCCTACACTTCAGAGCACAACTATCAATGGTACTTTTAGCTCAGTATTAATAGATGTACTACAAGAACTGCACACACACATACATGCATTATTATAGCATTTTCATTACTGGAGTGAGATCCTCTTTGAGAGTTCCTCCTTAACAGCCACCTTCACATTTATCCCCCCAGCCCTGTCCAAAAACCTAAGGCTCTATAGCACAGGTGTCACCATGCTACCTGATGTGGGCAGAAAGAGCAAGCCATAAAAATCAGATTTAAATAGGAAAAACTCAGAGTCAATAAATCACGTGCTCACTAGAAACTACTGTAATATCTAGACGAGTTAATTACATTTGAAATAAGACAGAATAGATGAATTCAGGAAAAATAATGTCCTTGAAGTATATTTTTAGGTACTTACATCATAACAGAAGTACAGTCTCTGTTAAGTTAATTTAGTTATTCCAGGAATGAGTGCTGCAGAAGTGCGTATTTAGTGATACTTAGAATGAAGTGAGAGCAGCATGTAAAACGCTGAGCACATGAACAGACTAATATCATAGTAAATGAAACTTACTAATATATTGCAGTTTTTCAGGTTGCAATAATTAAACCCAAGGTAGTAAAAAAAAGAATCCAAAGACTATCATGGATGCAAATTAATACAAGAGTCGCTATTTGTGTTGAGTTACACAGGATAAAAAAACAGATTTTTTTCTGTATTAGTAACTATAATTATATTTAATCTAGAATTCAATATTTTCAGAGCAACAAATAAACAATTCAAGGCACTTACCAACAGCAAGGATTGGCTCATATTGTTTAATATTTTTTGTCGTAAGAGGTGGGCACATGCGGATAGCAAATGGAGGCAAAGGAAGTCCTGAAAGAAGTCCAGTCAGCAGAAATTTGAGGTGCACTTCTTGCAGAAACGAACTTTTTAACTGTTCTTCTCCAGCAATTGTGCCTTGCCCTGCTTAAAAATGAAAGCTCTTGTTAGTATTAAATTTGAATCTGAGATGTTACAGAAAGTAGCAGACACAGGAATTTACAATATGGAAATTACAAATAACCCAACATACATGTTAGCAATGTTTTTTTAAAGATGCATTCCTTCCTGTTGAACTCCGTATGGTAAAACTTTTTGGAAGACTGCACTTCAGCTAATTTCTCCAAAAGCAGCCTTTTTTCCTAACAATAAGGATGGGGGGGGGGGGGGGGGGGGGGAAAGGGGGGGCGAGAAAAGGAGAAAAAAAGCAAGTGCAACCATTTCAGTCTTCACGATTAATTCCTACTTCTTTTTCCTCCTTTTGTTTTTCTTTACAGTTAGTTACAAATTAAAATTAAAATTATCAGACCAATTCAAAGACTGATAGAGGTATAACTCTGAACAGTAAAAACTAAGTGCAATCCACTGCTAGAAATACAGTGAATTTGCTCAGATACAACAATAAAGATGGCCACAAAACAGATGTAATTCCACTGTTGTATAGCTTCTGCAGTCAGCTGTACCAGTCTGAGTGACATAAGGTACTGAATAACAACAGCTATGATGTCAACGACTACAGAAAATGCAGATAAGAGGAAAATCACGCCCCAAATACCATCTTTGAACACATGAGAGAAAGTGCAAAAGAACCTCCCACAGTGGTAAGCTGCCTGCACCTAGCAATACAGAAAACTTTTACCAAACCAAATACAAATCAGTGCCTTTGTATCTGAGCAGCACTAGTCAGTTTTCCAATAAAAATTGGTTTTAAAACATAAAGATAACCATCTTTACGGAACATTTCTCACTACTGAAGTGTTAGCTGCTATCTAGAATTCATGAAGATGGATGAATGTGTCAGATTAATCTTAAACAGAAGACGACAATTTCTTTTAAAAATGAAGGAGTTTATGCCAAATTCCATTTTACATTACTTTTTTTTCCCTCAGAGAAAATGAAATTTGAACATTGGTCCTCAACATTAAAATCCTCAAAAAGATTAATTTGATAGTTCCTTTAGAAAACAGGAACTCTTTTCTTTCAGAATTACTACTTAAATTGCATAGAAAAAAATTCTAACATACATACTTCTTAAGTAAGCTAAGATGTACAACGATTCAATAATCCTAGAAATGAGTAGTAGTAATACTAGTGAAAGAAATTCTTACCAATCATGTTGTCTAATGAGAGGTCTGGAAGTTTATTTTGGAATGCTCCTACAGGAATTCCACAAAATGAGACTGGGGAATACAAAGGTGATGCACTTGAGCTGCTGGAAAAGAAATGAAAACAAGTTCCAAATGCAAACTGGATCACCTGGTATCGTAGGTCCTCGATTTTGTTTTTTCCCTATGTTGTTCTATCACTATTCCTACCACTTACTAGTTGCAGAGCATATTGAGAAGATTATTCCCAACATCAACCTGCATGAATAACTCTACCAGCAGATAATGGACACAAAAATGTACAAATTTTACGGTAACTTTCATCTTCCTTACAGAGATATTTACAAGAGAAAAACAGACAGATGTATCCCTTGTTCTGAAGTCTACCTAAGCACTGAATGGAAGCTTTTACATCTATTTTGTATTAATTATTAAAACTACTAGATTAGTAAATATTAAATATATTGTGTATTAATATGTAGAGTTATGTTCATGATACAGCTAAGGAGCAATCATAAATACTTCGACATTTAAGAACAGATTCCCAAACCTGGATAATAGTTTTTGTTAAACCACATAAACTTCTTATATAGGTTCCAGATGATGAAACCTGTAACCAAAAGCAATGCCTTGCCTCTGCATATACAATCTACAGCAGAAACTTACAGTATTATCGAGATATCTATGCATCAGGTTTTGTGTTATTTTTTTCCCCCCAATGACTGTGACTGGGTTCCAGTGCAATCTCCATCTAAAAGGGACTCAGCCAGCCCCTGCAGCCTTGGCAATCATACCATGCTGGGCTGAGGACAGGTCTACGTCATCAGCAAAGACCAAAGGCTACTGACTGCACCCAGCTGTATGCAAAAATGCGGTTTCAGGCACATACAAAGCCATTTTCTTTAAAATCTCACTTTAACAGACTTTAAGTTCAAATTTTAATTAAGGTCATCAAATCCAGCAGGAACCAGAGCTAATGGAGGAAGACTCCTTCAAAATCCATTAAAGACTGCACCAACTAGAAATATGCTTTACTTTTCAGTACAATCCAACCATACTCAGAATCCTCTAGGCTCAGTGGTTCTTCTATTATTACTACATTTTTTCCTGGTTATATAATGATGACAAAAAACAGTGTTTTAGAAATAAGCCTAGGAATCCAAGATGTAAAACCCAGCAACACATGGATCCTAAACAGCTGTCTCGGATGTGCATCACAAACAATCCATCTAACAGTATTTTTGGGAACACCAAGAATAAAAACATTAAATCTCAGATGAAAAACAAAAGGATCTATGTTGAAAATCTGCTATTTCTGACACTTAAAAGTCTACTAAGAATTCTGCATTTCTTTTATAGCAGTAAGTTGTTTATTTTATTCAATAGTACCTGAAAGGTTTATTGCAGCAGAATGACGATAATACGCTGCATGTTTAAAGAACTATACTACTTCATACAGTGCTTTTAGAGACTGCTCAAGATCTCAAACTCTAAGGGCTTTGTATATAAAAATATTGTTTACACCACCGTATTCCAGTCACCAGCTGCACAGGCTTATATTGCTCTGTGTCAAATTCTCACAAATCTACCATAAAACCTTGCCCCTGCTCTGCTCAGCAGAATGCCATGGGATAAAGCCCTGGAGGGAAGAGGGGCCCAAGAAAGCTGGTTAATATTCAAGGATCACATCCTCCAAGCTCAGGAGCGATGCATTCCAACAAAGGAAGTCAGGTAAAAACACCAGGAGGCCTGCATGGATGGACAAGGAGCTCCTGGACAAACTCAAACACAAAAATGAAGCCTACAGCAGGTGGAAGCAAGGACAGGTAGCCTGGGAGGAATACAGAGAAATTGCCCAAACAGCCACAGATCAGATTTGGAAAGCTAAAGCTCTGATGGAATTAAATCTGGCCAGGGCAACAAGAAAAGCTTCTACGGGTATAACGGTGATAAAAGGAAGAGTATGGAAAATGTGGGCCCTCTCTGGAAGTAAACGGGAGACCTGGTTACCCAGGATATGGAAAAGGTTGATGTACTCTATAAATCTTTTGCATCGGTCCTCACTGGCAAGTGCCCACCCACACTGCCCAATGCACAGCAGGCAAAGGCAGGGACTGGGAAAATGAAGAACCACCCACTGCAAAAGATCAGGTTCCAGACCATCTAAGCAACCTGAAGGTGCACAAGTCCACAGGACCTGATGAGATGTATTCGCAGGTCCTGAGGGAACTGGTGGATGCTAGGTGGTTGCTAGGCCACTATCCATCACATTTGAGAAATCGTGGCAGTCTGGCGAAGTTCCCACTGACTAGAACAGAGGAAACATAATCCTCATTTTTAAAAAGGGAAGAAAGACCCAGGGAACCACAGACCAGTCAGCTTCACCTCTGTGCCTAACAAGATCACAGAGCAGATCCTCCTGGAAACTATGCTAAGGCACATGGAAAATAAGGAGGAGATTGGTTACAGCCAACATGGTTTCACTAAGGGCAAACTGTGCCTGGCAAATTTGGTGGCCTTCTATGACAGGGTTACTGCATTGGTGGATAATGAAGAGCAACTGATGTCATCTACCTGGACTTGAGCAAAGCATTTGACACTGTCCCACTTGACATCCTTCTCTCTAAATTGCAGAGACATGGATTTGACAGACGGACCACTCAGTGGGGATAAGGAATTGGCTGTATGGTCACACTGGAAGAGTTGCAGTCAACAGCTCGATGTCCAAGCAGAGACCAGTGACAAGTGGCGTTCCTCAGGGGTCGGTATTGGGACCGGCACTGTTTAATACCTTTGTTAGCAACACAGACAGTGGGATTAAGTGCACCCTCAGCAAGTTTGCCAATGACATTAAGCTGTGTGGTGCAGCTGACACGCTGGAGGGACGGGATGCCATCCAGAGGGACATTCACAGGCCTGAGAGGTGGGCCTGTGTGAAGTTCATGACAACAAGGCCAAGTGCAAGGTCCTGCACCTGGGTCAGGGCAACCCCCAGTATCAATACAGGCCCGAGAATGAAGGGATTGAGAGCAGCCCTGCTGAAAAGGACTTGGGGGTGCGAGCTGATGAGAAGCTCAACACAACCCGGCAGTGTGTGCTGGCAGCCCAGAAGGA